TCGAGCGTAGGTCTCCTCCGGGATTCCTAGCCTCTTAGGTACCCGTAGCATCGGAGGAGACTGGCTTCAGGGTCTTTTGCCCTTTGCTGCTGTATGAGCTCCAGGGGTGCAGTTTGCCCTCATGAGGAAAAGACAGTGAGAGTGCAACCTACTGCCCCGCCTTCTGTCCTCCACCGAAGGTCCTTCCAACAGCACCAGTAAGGACAAGCCATTCACTATGTGCCAGGCGTGTGAGCAAAAAGAGCCCTTCCATACCAAAGTCTCTTCTGTGCTGTTATTTTCTGTTAAAATATTAACATCTTAGCATTAAGACAATAGTAAACATTGTGATTAAGAGCTCAGCACTGGAGCCACACTGGCTCAGATCCCACGCTTACCAGCTGTGTAACCTCAGGCGACTTACTTAACCGTTCTTGGCCTCAGTTTCCTTATCTGCAGATTGGGGCCGACAAGAGTCCCCATCTCGCAGACTATACTGCCAAGTGCCGCCTGGCAGTGTTGTCATTTTAATCACTAAATGTACTCTAAAGGTCTGAATTTTACTCCGGAATGATTTGCCCAAACACTCCTTTCTACCAGGCAATACACAGATCATATTAAACTTCTTTTATAAGCGTCCATTAAAGTTTTCTGCCTCTTTTTCTGCCTGGCCTCAAGGCATTTCCTTGTGTCTACACCAGAGGTCACCAGCAAACGACACGGTGGCGCCAAAGCCAACCCAATGCTGTGTTTGTAAATAAAGTTTTACTGGAACACATCTACATTCTCTCGTGTACGTACTGCCTGTGGCTGCTCTCATGCTACAGTGCAGACACGGGTGGCTTCAGCAGAGATCATGTGACCTACAGCCTGGCCCTTTACACAAAGAACTTCCAACCCCTTGTCTAGACTTTGGGTCCCTCTGATTTACATCCAGCTGCGTTAGGAGGGCAGAGATACATAACATTCAGGATTGCCTGTGTGAACCAAGCTTCCTCCCAACTCGGGGCTCTCCAACGCCAGCTCTCACCTTTTCCCTTCACCGCATAGTCGGAAGGCTTAGTACCTGACATGGAATGGTCTGGGAGAGAAAAAAAAAGTCGAAGAATTAAAAGGCCTTTCAAATTCATAGTCTAATAGCCACTTTGGACATTTTCCTCAATTGTCATCATCTTCATGTCTTTCCTGAAATCTAGAATTATTGAACCCTGGGCTTCATTTCTTCCTGCAGATAAGCAGAAAACGGCCTACTCACTCCACTTCGCAGAAGCTAAGTGCATCATGGGCAGCTGGTAGCTGGGAAACGTACACAGTAAAGCAAACCGATGACCAATGAGACCAATGTGTATATCCTACAACTTGGGTAAAGTAAGCAGAGGACCCCTAGAATTTGCGACAAAAGGGGAAACATTACAGTTATTAGGGGTGGGGAACCCACATTGGCCCAGGCCTGATTCTTGGGAGGGGCCTTGGAGGGAAGGAAGGGGGCCAGTTCAAGGGCAGAGTGCACTGGACCCCCTGGGAAGACAGAGCTGGCAGTGAGATGAATAGACTAACGTGGCCTCGGGTTTACTTGTGTGAGGGTCAGAGGGCACACAGAGGAGACAGGAGGAGGTCAGCGGACAGCTGGACATTCTCCTGAACCTTTACAAGTGTGCCTGCCCAAGAGCTGTCCTGTGGTGCGAGCTTAGTGGGGTATCAGCAACACGGGCCTTGTACTAGCTGTGTGACCTTGGACAGGTTACCCGACCTCCAGAGCCCTCGCTAGACCCAGATATCAAAGGTGGAAAACTCTTAGGGCTTCATGTTGACATAATGGAGGCAAAGGGCTCAGGGCAGGGCCAGCTGTTCAGCAAGGGCACAGTGATGGGAGACCCACCCCAAGGGAGGCGGTGGGGTGGGAGGACGAGGACTTCACCTCCCACCGCCAGCTCCGTGTCCAGGACAAGGATCCTGAGTACTCGGGTCAAGCTCGTTGTGGGCAGAGACAGAAGCCATTCTAGACATCCAGCGGGACCAGGGAAGTGAGGGGGCTTAGCTTAGTCTCCCAGATCTTCCACTCTCTACCTTCTGATTTCAACCATGAAAACCGAGTGCAGTCCCTGGAAAGGCGAGGGGATTGGGTGGAGGGAGGGAAGCGGAGGTGACTGGATGGTATAACCATCTCGAATCGCCCAGCCCTGATGACCGGGGTCTTGGCTCAGAAGGGTCATCATACAGTGGCCAAGATGGTCAGGGAGCACGCCTCCCATCCTTGCCCTCCTGGAGCAGGCCTGGCACACAGGAGTTTTGGAAGCATCTACAGCAGTCTCTTAGGAACAGAAAACTAAGCTTATACTCTGTTTAGACTTTAACCACATGTGTTCATCCCTGTGTTCTTGATGGTCCTGTGATATATAAAACTCATTCAGCAGTTGAATTACTTTCCCACCAGGCCCTCCCCTCCCCACCTTGGATGGTTTCGTTTTGCTGTTAGCACTTTCTTTACATTTGGTACTTACTGGGTTATGGTGTCATTTATTCCTTGACTTTCAATGTTTTTTCCTTTCTCCTTACTTTCTCATAATGATATCTTATAATTTGTGATTTAGTTGTTCTGTGAAATCCAAATTATGTTAGTAATTTGAGGAAAAAGAATACTATATTTTCATGGTTTTCAGAAGCATCTCTATTTAACGGATTCTTTTCTGAATCAGGCAGGGTCCTAATCATTAATGAATACACAAATTTGTTTTACTTTAGAAAGTTTTTGGTATTCACAAAAGAGAGTCAGAGTCTTATGGTCTCCCTGAAATGCGCCTCGAAGAGCTCAGATCTGTTCCGTTCAGAAGGTGTCAGGAGTCTGCCTTGGCACAGAACAGCATGAACAGCTTTGGGTGACCAGAGAGGAGCTCGTTCACATCCGTTTCTTCAGCGAGCATGTACTGAATCGCTGATCCTTGCCAGGGAGCTTATGAGCTGCTGGGATGAAAAACACAGCTTCTGACCTCAGTGAATCTCCTGGAGAGGTCCGTGCTTGAGCTGAACCTGAACAGTTAGCATTTCGGGTAGTGTGCCAAGACAGACCTCTGAGAAATGAGCACTTTGATGACGAGAGAATCTGGAAGGGCTGGTGTGGGGCTGCAGGCAGAAGAGCAGGTGGAGATGGACGATCGCCTGGGGAGAAGAGGGGCGCTACCTCCGCCCGTCACCCCCTTCCCTAGCCAGGCGGAGCCTCCAGACCGACAGAGACAGCCCTGCAGTCAAGGACCTCCTACAGCCTGGTGGAGGCCTTATATAAGCAAGTAATCACAGTGTGGCATGTTAGTTACTAAAACGAAGGTTAATAGACAAGTGACTAACTGCTTGGAAAGAACTGCAGAAATTTCCATTAAAACAGCGACGTTAGAACCGAGTCTTAAGTATCCTGTAGGACTTCAGGAAGAGGAAAGCCCTCGAGTTCCAAGGAGGAAGTGAACGAGGATGAGGTGAGGGGGCGGGCAGAGGCCAGGCCACCCACGGCCTTGCAGGATGTGCTAGGGAACGTGATGCTCACCCCGTAGGCCAGGGAAAACCAATGTGGTAGAGAAAGGGGGTAAGAATATTAAGGACAAATGGTTCAGGCATGATTAGGAGACAGTCAGATTGAAGTTAACAATTCCAGGATTGAGTTTGGGGCTTTATAACCAGTTGCAATCAGCTATCGCTTAGGATAGGAAATTTTCCACTTAAACGCTACTTTTGTCCCTAATCTTCCCACTTTCCTCCAAGGAACAGTAAGTTTTGGTTCATAGAGCCTAGTTGACTGATCTGCAGCCTGGGACCCATGAGCGTGATAATAAGAGTCTATGAGCCAATTAATAGTTGAATAAACACCAACAAGTTTAACATTTACCTGCAGTAAGGCTGGACAGATTCATTAAAATGCTGTGCTGCTTTGCCTTCCCCAGGAATTATATCAAGTTATTGCAGTAACTGGTTATCTTAAGCAGCTTCGCTGTTCATGACATCATGAAATTTATTGACGAAGTACTGTTTTAAAACACGGAGTCCATGTTGGGGGAGACATTGTAATTAAAAAGACCTCTGGTGGGCAAAGGAGGGACTTCCCTGGCGGTCCAGTGGTTAAGACTCCATGCTTCCACGTCAGGGGACATGGGTTCGATCCCTGGTCGGGGAACTAAGATCCCATATGCCGCTCGGTGCGACCAAATAAATAAATAAAATCTCTGGCTCTGAAGAGTTTAGACATCCAGCTTAGTTGATGAGTGTGTTATGTTTGAAAAAAAACAAAAATAAACCCTTGGGTACCTAATTGAGCAGTATTCTGCAGAAATAATTTATGAAATTTTTCATAAATTTCTATACAAATGTACATTTCCCTAAAGAGAATGAGAGTTTCGTAGCACATCTGCATCTCAAAAATGTATATAGTTACATAAAAGACCATTTTAACAACTTTTTTTTTTTTTTTTTTTTTTCTTACGTGGGCCTCTCACTGCTGCGACCTCTGCCGTTGCGGAGCACAGGCTCCAGACGCGCAGGCTCAGCATCCATGGCTCCCAGGCCCAGCCGCTCCGGGGCATGTGGGATCTTTCAAGACCGGTGCACGAACCCATGTCCCCTGCATCAGCAGGCGGACTCTCAACCACTGTGCCACCAGGGAAGCCCAACTTTTATATTTTTATAGGGATGCATTCACTGGGTGTTGATCTTGGACTTCTTGGGGTTACATGGAAAAGGTAGAATTGCATTTTGACTTTGATTTTAATTTAGGGTTTCAATGGACATTAAAAAGGTGCAAGACTTATTAATGTTTAGTCTCTTTTTTAGTGTGTTTTTCTACATTCAAGCTGTGCCTTACAGGAGATATTCTTAAATTGTCCACTGTAACCTCGGGCTTTCATGTTGCATTTCTGCAGGAGCTTAAAATAATTTGATGCATGATGTTTTTCCCCCAGAGTTTCCTCTATATACTAGTGAGCCATTTGGGTGTTTTAGTGAAGTTATGAAGATTCATATGTAGTATGTTGCTCTTACAGAATTATGAAGTTTCACGTCGCAAAACGGAAGTTTAAGGAAACATTACGCCCGTATGACGTAAAAGACGTCATCGAACAGTATTCTGCTGGTCACCTGGACATGCTGTGCAGAATTAAAAGCCTGCAAACACGGTGAGCAACGCGAGGGTTACTTGTTTTACAGGAACAGGCACAGAAACTGTCTGAGAGGAACGTCTCCCTAGTAGAGAAAACTCTTGAATTCCATGTTTCTAACTCTTTTTTTAGTGAACAGCTGGACTTTTGCGTTGAAACGTAGATTTTATTTAAAAGTAAATCAGTCATTAAAAGCCTCAATGTATCGACAGTGTCTCAGTGTCTCACCTGTGAAAATGGGGTATTGGCAGTGGCTGCCTAGGGTCTTGGTGAGGATTGAATGAGTTAATGCAGGGTCACCGAGTGCTCGGGGAGTGTTAATGGTTGGTGCTGCTGTCATTTCCGTTATCGCCTGAATCCTAACCATCCTTCAGAGGAAAGCTAGTCTTTCTCCTTCGTTAAACTTGACCCACCATCCAGCCCACAAAGACAGACCTGTCCCTCCTCTGAGCCCCTAAAGCGACTAGAGTCCACTGCAGGGAGTAAAAGCGCGGCTCACCTTGGAACACTGTGCCGGAGAGTCAAACTGAGGACCCAGGGTTGACTCTTATACTGCTGCCCTGTGGGAAGCTTGTTCCCCTGGCCCTGGACCCAGTCTGGGCCCTTCCCTTCATGCCTGTCCTGCACGGGGCTAGATACACACCGTCTTGCCAGGGAGCATCTTCTCTAGTGGTTGAAAGGAATGAGTTCGGTATGTTATTTCAAACATGTGTTTGATTGTGTCATCTTGAAGCCAAAATATTTAGTCAGTTTCATTTTTTTTAACAGCCTTGCTTCACTATCAGGCCCCAACTACCAGCATTCGATTGAACAGTTCTTAAAACACAAGGACTGAGTCTTCAATGTTTGTCTATGCCCAGAGCACACTTAGCCCAGGGTGAGGCATATACTAGGCCCTTGGTAAAATACCTGTTGATTTCTATAACATTAGTTACAGAAATCACGGGTTTTTTTGGTTCATTTCATTCAGCAGGTAAGTATTGAACCTGCAATGTGTGCTGGGCACCCTGGGCACCCAGAGATGAACAAATGACCCAGTCCTTGTAGAGTGGCAGTTGAATGGATTAGATGTCATGACTGCCTGTACCCCTGTGCACACAAAGTAAACTGGAAAGTTGAGTCAATATTCCTTATAATTCAGTTCTAAAACACACAAAAACGAGGAGAGTAAGTGTCCAATTTAGGCTGACTAGGTCTCCTTGGAAATTGTTTTAAATCACCTGTGATCCTGTTACAGTCTCTGCGCAGGTAGCCAAGGTTTTCCAAGTCCTTTCACAGAACTACCTAAGGCTCCCAACGTTTTTGTTTGCTTGTTTGTTTATTACAAATGTAATTGGTCTTCTTTTATTTTTCTTCATAGTGATAGGGTCACTAGTTAAAATACACTGTAAAATCTGCAATTTAAATTTTATTTCATGCTGCATTGTAGAAATAGTTTACATAAATAGTGTCCATTTAATCATTTAAAACAAAGGTTAAATGTAAATTAGGATCCTGTATTTATTCCTATGATTATTTATGATTTTCTGAAAAAGTTTTATTTTTCTGAGGGTGAAGGAATTAATGTTTTTTAAAGTAAGATACCTTTAAACTAAACTGATAATTTCCAGAAATCAATTGACCTGGAGAGAATGCCATAACATTACAAACAGGATTTTTTCATTTAACATATGTTTGTTCAATTGGTTTTGTTGTTTCTTTGTTTTTATTGACGTATAGTTGATTTACGATGTTGTGTTAGTTTCAGGTGTACAGCAAAGTGATTCAGTTATACGTGCATTTATATCTTTTTTTTTTTCAGATTCTTTCCCCTTATAGGTTATTGCAAAATATTGAGTATAGTTCCCTCCCAATGTTTCTATAAAGTTCAACTGCTGCAGAATTTGCGGAACTAATCTGGAGTTTCTTGCCTATGTGCTGTGTGTATACTGTCCAACTAGAAATCCTGAGATGGAGACTACAGCTTTCTTATCTGCTTATCTTCCATATGTCAGATGTATGATAAATGGTCACTGAAAAATCTGTTCTATTATTAACATGAAATAGTCATAATTATGATTTTGTCATTTTTAAGTGGTTGAATTCAAGAAACACCTGGTCAGGGGTGGAAACAGACGAATTACTTGGTAGTTTAGGACATTTTTGCCTCCAGAAGATCAGCCATAAGTGATTTCATCATGGACTAGAATAATGAGAAAATTAACCTTGTGTAATTTTCATGTGAAGAAAATAAGCACGTCAGCTGGAAGAAGTTCATTTTTATTTCCTCTTACGTAAATAGAGATGATTGTATTTTTCTTTTCAAAACCCTTCCTTCCAGCCTAGGGCAGTGTCCACCTTCAGCACTCATAATCAGATCTCTTTCTCTGCTAGTGTGGATCAAATTCTTGGGAAAGGGCAAATCACATCAGATAAGAAGAGCAGAGAGAAAATAACCACAGAACATGAGACCACAGATGACCTCAGCATGCTCGGCCGAGTGGTCAAGGTTGAAAAACAGGTACAGCTCAACTAAACTGCTTAACTTCTTAGCCAGATTTTTTTCCAGTTTTATTGAGATATAATTGACGCATATCGCTGTATAAGTTCAAGGCATACGACATAATGGTCTGACCTCCATATACTGTGAATGATGACCACAGTAAGCTTAGCCTCCATCATCTCATAGAGACACAATAAAAAGGAAAGCACAAAAAGAAAACAACTTGTTTTCCTTGTGATGAGAACCCTTAGGATCCACTCTGTTAACACCTTCCTGGGTACCACGCAGCAGTATTAGCTATAGTCATCCCCTTGTGCATCGCACCCCCAGCACTTGTTTATCTATAACTAGGAATCGGTACCTTCCGGCCACCTGCCTCCGGTCCCCTCCCTCCACCCGCTGCCTCTGGTCACCATGAATCTGATCCTTTTTCTATGTGTTTGGAAAGGGGGTTGTTTTTTGTCGTAAATTCCACATAAGTGAGATCATACAGTATTCGTGTTTCTCTGCCTGACCTATTTGACTTAGCATTATGCTCTCCAGGTCCATCCCTGTTGTTGCAAGTAGCTGGATTTCCTCGTTTTCTTATGGCTGAGTAATATTCCATTGTGTATATTTATATATACACACACCACAACTTATTTATCCATTGATCTGCAGTGGACACTTGTCTCTGAGTCTTGGCTATGAACATGGGGTTGCAGACATCTTTCTGAGTTAATTTTTGTTCCCTCTGGATATAGTCCCAACAGTGGAAGTGCTGGATCATGTGGTAGCTCTATGTTTAATTTCCTGAGGAACCTCCATACAGTTTTCCACAGTGGCTGCACCAGTTGACATTCCCACCAACAGTGCAGGAGGGCTCCCTTTCCTCCACACCCACATCAGCATTTGTTATCTCTTATCTTTTTGATGACGGCCATTCTAATAGGAGTGAAGTAGCCAGAATTTTTTTTTAATCAAAACTGATTATAGGCAGTTGGATGTATTTTAGTGAGTAATAGATTTTAAAAGGAATAAAATCAAGAAAGAGCAAATAAATTAAATTTTCTTTATGCATAGATAGTGTTTCTCTAAAACACCTGGATTTCCATATAAGAAATAGAAAATTTCCTCTCATCAATCAATACTCGAACTGCAAACAACTATAGACTTCCAAGAGTAGAATAACAAAGATCTAGTTTTTATTTGTGTTTTGGTTATTTTCATTGTCTCTCTTATGTCAATTAAAAAACAAAAGCATAATAACTATGGTAGTGCACTGAATGTTTGTTGACCCTGAGAGTGTATCATCTCATACAAAGACAGTTTTTAGAAATCAAAATGCTCCCCCAATTTAATTATAAATATTCCAAGCATTTTATACCTTTATTTTTAAATTTAGAATCGCCTAGATTGATATCTAGGGTCTTTTTTTTGTTTTTTTGTCTGTACCGCACAGCTTGTGGGATCTAGTTCCCTGACCAGGGATGGAACCCGGGCCTCCTGCGGTGGAAGCGCAGAGTCTTAACCACTGGACCATCAGGGAAGTCCCAGTATCTAGGGTCTTGATTTCTTACAGAATCAGTTCCCTGCTAGGCAGCAGTAAAGTCCCAGAATGTCTTCAGAGAAGAGGCTGAGGAAGGGCAACCTGATCGGGGAGGAGGGTCTGGAAGTTGCTTTGTACAGCGCTTATATGGTTTTTGAAACATCAATTTTATCTTATTTTTTTTATAATTTATTTTATTTTATCTTTGCGTTGGGTCTTCATTGCTGTGCGCGGGCCTTTCTCTAGTCGTGTCGAGCGGGGGCTACTCTTCGTTGCGGTGCGAGGGCTCATTGCGGTGGCTTCTCTTGTTGCGGAGCACGGGCTCTAGGTGCGCGGGCTTCAGTAGTTGTGGTTCACGGGCTTCAGTAGCTGTGGCTCGCGGGCTTCAGTAGTTGTGACTTGTGGGCTCTAGAGTGGAGGCTCAATAGTTGTGGCGCATGGGCTTAGCTGCTCTGTGGCATGTGGGATCCTCCCGGACCAGGGCTCGAACCCGTGTGCCCTGCATTGGCAGGCGGATTCTTAACCACTGCGCCACCAGGGCAGCCCCTGAAAATCAATTTTAAAGGCTGGGGAGGCAGAAGGGCGCCAGTGGAGACCAGGCGGACGGACGGCGGAGCGTCCTGCCTCTCAGCCGTCCGTTCCCGCCCTCACGGCTGGAAGGGGCATCCTGAGCTGGTGCCCAGTCAGGACTGCGTACGACTTGCCTCTCCGGACTTCACTGTGCAGGCACAGCCGGACTTCTTTCTACATTCTTATCAACAGGTGTACGTTTTCCCCTCTTTCAGGTCCAGTCCATCGAGGCCAAGCTGGACTGCCTGCTGGACATCTACCAGCAGGCCCTGCGGAAAGGCTCCGCGTCGGCCCTCGCACTGGCCCCCCTGCAGACCCCGCCTTTCGACTGTCAGCAGACCTCGGACTATCAGAGCCTGGCCCCGCCCGGCGGCCGCCTGCCCCGCTCCGCCAGCGCGGGCCTGGCTCGGGGCCTGCAGCTCATCCTCACGCCTGGCGAGCTGGGCGCGCAGACCTTGTACGCGCTGAGCCCCCCGGCGGCCCAGGGGCCCGGGAGCCCGGAGGACGGCCCGGCAGCGGCGGGGGTGGGCGCGGCCCGGCCGGTGGCTCCCGCCACCCTGCAGATCCCGGCCCCGCTGCCCGCCCTGGGGGCCCTGGCCCCCGGCCCCGCGGGCCCGCACGAAGGCCTCCCCGACGTCTCCGCCCGCCTCGAGGCCGCCAAGGAGCGCGCGCTGCGCCAGAGCCTCGACCTGGACGGCGCGGCCCTGCTATCTGTCCGGCCCGCGGCGGCCCAGGACCGGGGCAAGTCGGCGTCGGTGCAGAACCTGATCCGGTCCGCGGAGGACCTGGACGTGCCGCTGTCGGGGAGCGAGTCCAGCGGCTCCAGGGGCAGCCAAGATTTTTACCCCAAATGGAGGGAATCCAAATTGTTTATAACTGATGAAGAGGCGGGTCAGGAGGAGACCGGGTCTGACGCCTTGCACGCGGGGCCGCCGGCCCGGGAACCCGCCCTGGCGTCGGACTGTCTCAGGACTGGACGGTCCCGATCATCTCGGAGCGCAGGAGCCACGGAGGCCCTCGGCCGGGCCCATGCCAGGCTGAAATGAGGCCCTCGCTCGCTTCCCTTGCCCCGCAGCCTCTCAGCCATACACGTCGCTGCATGAACTCTTCGGGAAGCCCTTCTCAAAAGTTGAATGCCCAAGAATCAGGAAGAGCAGGAAAGGCAGTGTCCAAGCCCGTTACCTTTTAATTGCATGACAATGCATGTTCAGGGGACGGCTGAACTTCCCAGGTAGGACAACATTACCCCTCATTCAGGAAGGTACCTCGCGTTAAAACTCCTGAGAAATCAACACTGCTGGTGCTGTGGTGTGTGTGAAAATGTCAAGGTCAGGTCGTTTATAAGATTGGACTCTGTCTTTTGAAATGATGGGAGTAAGCGCCTTCAAATTTCAGGCATTTCTGCTTTGTGGTAAAACACAGAATACAGTTTCAGAATTAGGCCATGACGTGCGTACACGTAAACATAGTATCAGCGGCCGATAGGGTGTCCAGTAAAGCAGAATTGGGGAATCACAGAAACGGCTGCCTGTCCAAGACGTACTTGCCAACCCGCTCCTATTCAGGCATTTTATTATTAATGTAATTTGAATGTCAGTTCGTATGCTTTTGGTGACTTAACGCTGTGGCCAGCAGCTTTGCACGTCATTTTCATGTTCTTTATGATGAGAATGTTCTTCGGTTAGAAAATGGGCAAACAGTGAAAGTCAAGGCCAGTGGGGCAAATAGGCTGACTCGGACACATCTGACTTCAGTGGAAACGTATTCCCTGACAGCTCGCTCCATCAGCTGTTACACAAGCAAACCAAGTCCTGAGAAGCGGACAGCCGGCCGGGCAGGGCTGATCCGTGTGTCCTGCAGCGCTCTCCACTGCAGGCAAGTGCGAGAGGCTCTTCCCACGGCTGATACACACGCAGGATCCTGGGAGCAGACGTGTGAGTGAGACGGGGATGGAAAAGGCTTGAAAAGAATCCAGACACGACACCGGGAAACAAGTGAGCTCAAGAAAATGACTTCCCCCTCCAGGGCCGTGAGACGGAGGGAAACAAACCAAAAGGGAAGACCTTGATTTTTTAGAAAACGAATATTGCTAAGGAATTCAACTACCTAAACATCCCTTATTCTTATATATAAGCAGAGAATTTTGAAAGGCATTTATTTTTTAATATGCCCTGAATGTCTTTTGCTATTAGGTAGTACATTTTGCATATGGAAGGCTAAAACTAAACGTCCTTTACTTTTTATACTGTAGTGCACATTTTCTATTCTTCCCAAGAATGTTGCCCCCAATCTGAAATTACTGGCTCAGTTTCCTGGTACAAACATTTTATGGTTCAAAGTCAGGTAACACTGGCAGGGTCTGCGAATCAAAGCACTTAATAATATAGCATGGCAGCAAAAAGACCAAGGGACACCAAAGGAGAAATGTATGTACCAGAAAGCAAGCAAAGTTGACCGCTTGTTAGAAACCAGCCTCGCTAGCCCAGACCGTCAGAACTTCAGCCAAGGTAACGGCACCCAAAGGGCCAGGAGAAGCGAGAGAACTCTGGTTAAACTCTCACCACAGAAGGACTTAAAAAGGAAGAGTTTTTTCCTTGGCGGTAGTGCTGCCTCCGGGAAAACTTTCCCAGCGGCCAGGAGGACCAAGCAGGGCTGTCGCCGGCCGCCCAGAGGCCAGAAGATGCCCTGACACCCGCCAAGTCCCTCCCAACTCTCTCCCCAGCCGGGTTTCTCCACCCCAGACTCCCCCCGCGACTTTTCTTCTCCACAGGCTTATGGACTCCCTGCCACAAGTTCCCTTCTGGACTTCACCAGCCGACATCCCCAAGTAAACCGCTTCTCCACTCACCGAAAATGCGCTTCTCAGCCTTTTAAGACCCTGTCCTTTTTGATAAACACTGAAATTTGGCAACATTCCTCTTCTCGCCCCACCGGGATCCTAGCACACTCCCCCGGAGCGTGTCATTCAGAGTGTGCTTGGGTGCTGGAGATATGCAGAAGAGAGTCTAAATTTTACACTCCAGTTAAGAAGAGGTTCTCAAGCTTTCGAAGCCATTATTTTCATTTTCGAAACATAGAGTGTTAGTAAAAAGTATTAAATGCAATGTTTCATCTACCCATGTCTCCACTCAAAGTTGTGATCCATCCTCCCAAGGAGGTTGTACACAAGAACAAACACACACACACACACACACACACACACACACACACACACACACACACAT